CTCAGCTCGCACGCCCACGGCGCTTAGTCCCTCCGCCACCCACGCGGTCGCAGCTTCCTTGGCTCCTCAACCCTGGGATGCGTCTTTTGTGGCCTCTGCCACGCCTCTGGACACGTCACTTCCTGGGCCTGACTTTCTTCCCTTGGCTCTCTTCCCATACTAATATGACTGTCGCCCGACTTCGATCGTATCGCCTTGTTAGTTGTTTTTTGTCATCTCATCTGCACCGTCCCTTCCTCTCCACGCCCTCCCCGCTTCACCCTTCTCAGCCTTGACTCACCTACACGAAATCCTCGAGCTTTTTTCCATTTGCGGCGCAACGTGTCGACTTGACCAATCTTGTTCCGTCTATTTCCGCGTAGTCCCATCGCATTATTTTTCTCCCAGATCGTATCATACCTGCCCTTACAGTTGTGTCCGTTTCAGACCGGCCCCTCCCCTATTGTTTGCTTATCTCCGCACCCCTCTTTTCTTGATTCTTATCTCCGTGATCAGAACTTTCATCCCTTCTTGCATACCTACTGCCTGGACAGTGAGAGTAAACAAACGACTTTCCCTTTCTGGCTTTTCAATCACTGTCGTCGCCTCACTTGTGGCTGATCTCTGTGACCTACATTTCTTAATACGCTTCTACTTCCTCTTTCTTGCCTCCCTTTTCGTCTCGTCCGTATCTCTTTCTACGCCTCTTCAATCCCGGTCTCAAATTCCCATTTCTTATCTCTCCTCTTCAGCATTTCCATCGCCGTCCCTCCCGCCTTGTAAATCCCTGCCCCCAGGGACCCACTCTTTCCACCATACATCCGAATGCCCCCTCCCCTCTCCACCACCCCCGCAGCGCTGCTACGCGGGCCGGCAACCTCCCCCTTCCCCGGCTGCGTTGGCGCTGGGGGCATGCGCAGAGGCGAGGCCTCGCCCGGGGCGCGAACCGCAGACACTCCGACGCCGCTTCGACAGCCCGCAACACACCGCGGCCACCACAGCGCTACAACACTCTGCTCGTCCTTGCTCTGCCCACAGAGCTGCGTAGTCCACGTTCGACTAGGATAATTGTTGTTGTGGTCGGTTTGCGTGATCTCGAAGTTTAGGAGAGAAAAGTGTGCGTCCCGTGTTTTTCTCGGAGCTTTTTCAGAATTTGTGGTTTTCTAAGACGTCGAAATCTGATAATGTTGAAATGATCTACCTTCGTCGATACCTTAGCGGTAAGAAGCTACTCTTTTTCTTTTGTTATTTTTCGTATTTCTCCCCGCACTCCACAAATTTCACGCAACCACTGCATGACATTTTGTCGTTACGAATAGTATGCTTTGAAAGTATTTGGCATTTGGTGACACCTAATTTAAAGATAAAAGTTTTCCAGTCAGTAATCACGCCATTTTCATTCGTATTTGTTACTATTTGGAATATATAATTTAATAATCTAAATATTGACGGTATCTTATCATATTCCGCAGAAAACTTTAGTCTATTAGAGTACTGCCGTCCATAGTATTCCTTCCTAGAAGCATGTCTTAAGCAAGAAATTACTCAATTGTTTTCGAGTTTTTAAGGTGTGCTATTACAAGGTAACTTAAATCTATTCGAGGAATTTATCTTTTGCTACACCAGGAAAATCTTCCGAAAGATTTGAAAGGCCGAAGTACCAGAGATGGAGGTATCTAGTTGCTCTCTCCATATCCCGTTAATCAAACTGAAGAGTTCAGATGACTAATCTGAAACAACGTCTCATGAGGAAGTTGATTGTGACGAGATAACATTCGGCAATAAAGCAGTGGTTAAATATCAAAAATAATTTCAAAAGCCTTTCCATATTCGAAATGAATATTTTATATTTAACTTATGCACTTGCCTTTTCTGTTACTTTATTATAACGATGTATCCTCAATCAATGAGTCAAATAAAACCTTTTCACTCAACATTCTGGCTAACAAAATCAAGGCCTCGTGCCCTTTAGTGTGTACAATCGCCACCATTGATCTCCAAACGTAGGTTTTCTGTAATTCCCAATCTGTTGTAAAGTTTTCCTATAAATAATTTTAATGAGTCGAATACTGTGTTTGAACCGAATTAATATTTTAAAACTTTTCCGATAATAATTTCTGTAGAATTCACGTTGTTTGGAGGGACCTAGATATGCATTCATCAGATCGAGTTAGAGGTGGGTGAAATGACGTCTTTTAGCGAACCTCCCTTTTTTTCTCCCTGGCCTCTGTAACACTTTATCTTCCATGTAAGATTCGCACACATTTTAGAGTGTTCTTTTGCAACGTAGATGATATTTTTTTAATTTCGGTCTGTTTAGACGATCAATTATTATTTGAACAAATTTATATTTATATATATGGTAGCAGAATATCAATCAATACACGTGGTTTATGATTGATCGACCAGTCAGTGAATCAGTCAAGTTTTTCATCTACTTTCTCGAAAATATACGTTTTCTAAATGTGGATCCCGATGACATGGGCTTTGACTGTGTGCATCCGCTGTCATGCGCCTCAATTTGCGCTGAATGTACTTTTAAATAGAACATTCGATCGATCGATCAAACAATCGAGAGTCAATCTATACATGTTCCTGACATGATATTCTTGGTAATCAAAGCAAAAGTTCGTTTTGTGCGCTCGCTAAAGATGTGTGCTTTTGTTGTGTGCAGACACCATCCTTGTGTGAACGTCGGAAAGTACTTTAAGGTTTAAAAGAAGCATTTGATCGAACAATCAGTCAATCAAAAGTGTTTCACCTTACATTCGCGTTATTAAAAATCAACCCTTCTTCACATTTAGTGTTGCTAACGACATGTGCTTTGCTGGGTGCAGTCGTCATTACGTCCCTGGATCCAACGCCATAAGGTTTAGAAGGAACAATCTATCAATCAATGAGTCAATCAAATCATTTTCACCCAACATTCTTGCTAACAAAATCAAACCCTCATGTGTTCTCGCTAACGACGTGTGCTCTGTGTGTGCGACCGCCGCCATTGATCTCCAGAAGTATTTTATGGTTTAAAAGAAAAACGATTGAACAATCAGTCAATCAAACCATTTTACCGTACATTCTTGCTAATAAAATCCTGTCCCCTTTTTGTGCTCTCTATTGACGTGTGCTCTGTGTATGCGGCCGCCACTACGGGCCTCGAGAAGCACTTTACTGTTTAAAAGAAACAATCGATTGAACGATCAATCCGTCAATCCAAACCTCTTCACCGTATATTCTTGTTAATAGAATCCTGTCCCTTAGTGTGTTCTCTATCCGCGTGTGCTCTGCGTACGCAGCCGCCGCCATTGACCTGCAGAGTCAATTTTTATGTTTAAAAGGAACAAACGATTGAACGAACAATGAAATTTTTTACTGGACATTCGTGCTAATAAAATCCCGTCCTCTATTGTGCTCTCTAACGGCGTGTGCTTTGTGTATGCAGCCGCCGCCATTGACCTCCAGAATCATTTAAATGTTTGATCGTTCAATCGTTTGTTCCTTTTAATCAAAACTTTTTTACCGGACATCCTTGCTAATAAAATCTTGTCCCTTAGTGTGCTCTCTAACGAGGTGTGTTTGTCTGGCCGTGTGCAGCCGCCGCCATTGACCTCCAGAATCACTTTAATCTTTAAAAGAAACAAACGATTGAACGATCAATGAAAACGTTTTCACCGTACATTTTTGCTAATAAACACCTACCTCCTAGTGTGCTCTCTAATGTAGTATTTTTTTCTGTCCGTTTGCAGCCGCCGCCATTAACCTCCAGAAGCACTTTATTGTTTAAAAGGAACAAACGATTGAACGATCAATCAAAACTTTTTTACCGGACATTCTTGCTAATAAAATATTGTTCCTTAAGAGTGATTTCTAACGAGGTGTGTGTTTGTTTGGCGTGTGCAGCCGCCGCCATGAGCCCCGTGCTGGACGAGGGCGCGCTGACGCCCGTGCTGCGCGACGCGCGCTCCGTGCGGCCCTTCCGCTCGTCCGAGGACTACCTGCTGGCCATGAAGGAGGACCTGGCCGAGTGGCTCAACGTGCTCTACCCGGAGCTCGACGTCTCTGCCGACTTCTTCATGGAGCACCTGGAGACGGGCGTCGCGCTCTGCAAGGTGAGTGCCCGACCCGTCGCCACTATCGCCCGGTCTGTTTGCTCGTTCGCTCGCGGGCGGACTGTTTGCTATTGTGGATGTGCGCTGTGTGTTTGCTGTTCTCCCCAAACGCGCGGATTGAATTTGCGTGTGGAGACACAGTGGGAAATTCGAAAGTTTTTTAATGGCTGGGAAGTGAACGAGTACATAACTCAACGAAGATGGGGAAAGGCGAACTAAATTTTCGGTGTGTAAGTTACGGGTTATTGCATTAGGGTAATTTAACACTTCATATTTGAACATATTGTGGCTGAATGTCTCGCGTGGGGATTTATAATGTGTTATAAGCTAATAGATTGCCAACAATGGGAAAATTATTTAAGCTTTTGATGCTGCGTTTTTAAATTAAGTGGCATAAAAGAATTAGTCCAAAATGCATGAAACGTCATGATATGCGAAAATATCCCCTCAATCCGAAGGCATTGCCCTGTTATTATTTAAGTAATTATTTCTGATGCAAATTCGACTACGAAATATTGGGAAAATTCTTCGATGTCGGGGTCTGCAATCAAATTATACATTTTTTAATTAATCGTGGAAAATATGATGAGTAGTTGAGTAGAATGAGATGTTGTGCAGTAGGACTTCAAAACAAATCCATCTTAATAGTTGTTCAATACATGAGATATATCTGTATTAGTAGTGAACAGTGTTCTAGTAAAAAGATACTGCGTCACAGTGAGATCGTGATCCGAGCAAGACAATAACGATGACAAGTATGTGTCGCGGTTCTCTCGGTGTCAAAAGTCAATTGGCGATGCCCATTCGAATTCTTCCAGCTGGTGCGTTCTACAGGGATGGCAAAAGCATTTAACATGCCATTAGATGTTTAAACGGCACAGACATGTATCAAAACTTAAACCAGAAATATAAATTAAACTAGTTGTTTATGTACAGCTTTGAAAATGTAAACACGATAATTATTGAAACTAAATAATAGAAGATTTATTTGTATATATTACCAATTTGGGATAATGAAAATATTTTCTTGTATGTTGAAGTGTTTTTACTCGAAAAGAAAAAATGCCAGATTGTAATGAAATTGATTAGATAAATAATTTTTTACTCAGAGAATGTTACATTTGGTTTCCGCATCAATGTAAACACTTAGCGTCTCTTCAGAAATTACTTCAGTTAAGCAGTATATGTTCAAATACAAAAAGTATACCTGTTCATACGTTCCATGCGTCAACGACAATACGTAGGAGTTAAAAAGTTTCCTTCGATATTCAACATGTTTGATATTATGAAATATAGTATTTCTAGCTTCTTGAAGACTTCTCGATTGTCTACAAATCTACGACATGGAATCTTACTCCACTGTATCTTGCTTGCTGGAAGGAGTGTTTCTCACGGATATTAGTGGATGAGTTTTTATTTTATTTTTGACCAAATAAACCTTTGAAACTGTAACGACTGATCGTTACACTTATCTCTAAAAATATTATCTCCATCTGGTGAAATAAGAAATCTTCAAAACTCATCCTCTGACAAAGAAACCGGCAGCATCGCATGATACAACATATGGAAAGGCATGAAAATAAATACGAGAAAAATTCCAAGCGTGGTACAGAAAGAAAATTGGATCGCTCTAATCTCGTTTTTGAAAGAAAAGACTGACGTAAACACAATCTGAAGAATTTGAATACTTTTTCTGAACTCAATTATGATATTCATAAAACAATAGTTATTTTCATTTTGAAGATACCTCTTTGAAGTTACCACTCTGCCATGATATTCTCGTACAAGTATTATTAACACCACATTGAAATAGTTGTAATGAATTGAAACTGATGAATCCAATGAAATAGTTTGTTCTAAGCCCTTCTAAATTACCAGTCTAAAGCAAAAATCTCTTATTTCTGTTTTTGCAACAGAAAAATGTTTCGAATGCTGGTAGTTACTGGATCACGCCATAATGGTGAAAACCATTATGTCACAGAGCAGAACTCTTAAAGTGCCCTTCTGAGTAGGCTGTCGTGACTGCGTTTCAGCACGCTTTGCCCGCGAGTGCTTCCACTTAATGCCACCGCCAGATTCTTCGCGGCGCGGCGCCGGTTCAAGACCAGCTCTCCGCGTTTCCTAATTCCGTTTCGACGCGGAGACGTCGGTCGGCCGTGAACGCGAGCCCTGTGCGCAGCGCCTGCGCTCTCCCCCGCGTCGCGTCGGGTCGGGTCGGGCCGGGCCGGGTCGCGTCGCGTCGCGTCGCCCGTCCGCGCCCCGTACATGCGGCGGAAGCGGCTGGTTAAGGCGCGGCGCGGCGCTGTGGGGCGCTGCGGGTGGGGCGGGGCGAGGATGGGCGAGTCGGCGGCGGGCCAACAGGGCCGAAGCGCGCCGCCCTCCGGCCCGCCAGAGGCAGGCCACCCTCGCGCGGCGACTGGCGCGCTCGCGCCTCAACGAAGAAACACACGGCACGCAGTGAAGCAGATTGGCTGATTTTTGATTGCGTGGTCGGATTTGGTCCATTCATTATTTCGAGCGCGTCGGATGCTATGGTAATTAGTCCCGTAACTATAGTGCGTTTTTATTTCGTGAGGGGGCGGTGATCATCCTCTGCTGATTGGTGAGATCCGGTGCCGACCTACATGTCGACATGACGGGTTTACCTCAACCAGGTATCTCTCACCAGCGGTGCACCACGCCGGCCACGGCCAACTATCACCTCACGACTGGTGTGTGAGTGTTAGTGTAGAGCATCTGCGTGTAAATATGTGTAAGGGATGAGGATAGGACCAGGAAGAGGACGGGAAGATCAAGTGCGGTCCGTGGCCTGTTTGTTACACTATGCTCCGACATTTGCGTGATGTTGATCGGAGAAACCGTGGAAAAATACCGATCAGAGCAGTCGGTTGCTGGAATGCTCCTCCAGACAGGAGCTGAACAGTGGCGGAGAAAGACGGGGATATTCTTTGTGTTGTTTGATTTTATAAAATTAGGTTTTATTGGACTGTATCGCCTTCACGTCCCTAGTTAATTAATTACGTGATATGCTCTATCGATCAAAAGAAGAATATATTTGATTCAAGTTTCTCCAAATAATAAAGTCGACAGAAATGAATCAGGGATTTTTTTGTGTGTGGCCATACACCATAGAGACAAAACTGCAGTAACTATATACTAGTCCCAACATCCACAGAATGTGTATGTTGGGATACGAATTTAAATGTGTACTTGTCTCTTCTGATACAATGGTTCGAATTCTAAATTTGTAGCGACGGTTGCGGATAAAGTGTATTTAAATGGGTTTTCTCGGGATTCTCTACTACTTTTCATTCCATCTTTATCATGAATAGCATCACCACACTCGCCGTTATCGTGATTAATTCACTCCTTCATTCATAATCTCTCTAGACACACGTCAAATTACTCAAGTATGAAGTCAAATCGCGACGCGACATATAGATACGATTACCAACAGATACAAAAGAATTCGTTCTCTGTACAGTTCTCCTTCCCCGTCCGATTTCCTCAATTTATATGCTTATCACCCCAAGAATGTTCTAAACAATTCTTCCTCCTTTCAGACTCCCTCCATTCTCGGCGTAGTTCTCATCTTTTCTTTTCTGTGCGGATTCCCACCCGCAGCCCCCCCCCCCCTCAAGAGCGATGGCCGTGGGACTCATTATCGCTCCAGCGCCCCCGAAACATCATTCCGGCGAAGCCCCAGCCCCCCCTGCTCCCCCAGGGCCACCCCTCCTGTGCCCCCGCGAGCGATGGAGCGCACAGCGCCTCATTTATTCGGCGCTCGCTCCTCCAAAGTCAACAGCCTCCCGAAATGAAGCGCCTTTCAACTAGTCCGCTACGGCCATTTTGAAACTCCATTCGAGCTCATATTTCAACAATGTAATCGGGATATTGCGTCCAGGGACGAAAACTTTAAATTGATGTTTGCAAAGGAAAATGCTGTACGTCAGAAACTGCGAACCAATTACCTCCATATACCGATCCTCTATATACCGAAATTCTATAGAAGGTGAAATATTTTTCGTGACTTGAAAATTACGTTTTAAAACATTTCTATACATCGAAAATCTACATATCGAACTCCTTTTCCCAAGTGACTATTTTTTTCAATGGAAAAAATGTACAGTACATTCTATAAATTAAGTTCAACAATTCGTCATAATTCTTGATGGAGACAAAATGTTTCCGATGAAGTATTTCAGTGTGTGTGTATTTCAGTATAACAAGTGTGAAAAGTATTTTGAGTTCATTTGTACAAGATTAGAATCCCTTTTTTATTTTTATTTTCAATTCAATATTTTGTCAGGAACTTAAGCAATTGATATTTCATGTTACTGTTCATAAATATGTGGTACGAATTATTAAAACATTTGTTAATAATTTATTGTCGAATTTTTATTTTACCCAATTTTTCGAAAATTGTTTGAAATCACTTGCTAAAATTTCATAATTATTTCTATACATCAAATTTTCTATATACCGAATATTATCAAAGTAACCGGCAGATTCGATAAATGGAGGTTAGACTAATTTTACAGGTTTTAATTTCGTTAACATTCTCATTACCAGAGCAGCTGAAATTCAATTTCTTGGTGAATATGGAATTTTAATTTCTTGTAGTTTTTCAATGCGTAAGTGACGTATTAACATTTCCACTTCAAATATATTAATAGGAAGTAGGTTTGTAAATTCATTATTCTACCTATAAAACGCTGCAGTATTGTTTATCACGCTTGGTATCGAACATTATGTAACGTTTGTGTAATGCCAATGCTTTGTACGCAATCAAACACTTCATATCTTTATGATCTCTTGATAACAATTATCAGACGGTTATCGCTTAAGGTCGTACCAAACGAGAAAGTATGGACCGTCCTTGGAAAAAACGCGCCAAGCACGGAGGTTCTAAACGAGTCCGCTTTGCTATGTCTCGCGCGTCCCCAGAAGAGAAATTATCTCGCGCATCATCGCGGGTGCGAGATGGTTTATCGTAACTT